AACTACGCTTGGCGGCAGGGCTGCGGGTGGTAACCGCTTGTGCGGAAGCAGGAGGCTCGCGCCTTTCTAACTTCTCATTGCTAGTAGCATCCAAGACCGTTAAATCGATAGCACCTTTAACATTTCCTATCAGGACAGAGCAGCCCTTGATCGGTGCACGAACGGCATTAGCCCAGCCATGAAAATACGGACAGCTAATAAAGCATCTAACTACGGGGAATTTATCTTCCCGACCTAAATAATTCCTAAGAGTAAAAGTCTTACGGGGTTCTCCTGCTGGACGAGGGATGACTTTATCGGACACGATTATACAGTTACTGCCAGAATCGCGGCAGATCATAGAAACCGGCGCGTTATTAACGGTACCGCTACACAAATGGTTTCTGGGTGTCGCCTCATCAAGACAAAATTGCACGGTGTGAAAGTTCCTAGGATTCTGTGGACAATCCTTCTTAACGTGGCCCCCATCACCACAAGCATAACATTTACGGGGCGGTTCAGGTTTACTATCGGCAGGTGAAACTACGTTAGTTGTAAGAGACGGGCTGTCGAGGCTCTCGCTCCTGTGATTTGGCCTAAAATCACGCGGTCTACTAGACTTAAGGTCAGCTGGGTAGGCACGATGAGCCAAGGCCCAATTATCGGCAAGTTTAACAACTTCAGTTAACGACTGACAATTCTGCTCTTTAATGAATACTCTAAGTGGGGTTGGCAACGAACTAAGAAATTGATCACAAATAATAAATTCCCTAAGACTTTCGTAAGTCTTTTGAATCGTCAAGGCCTGGAGCCAAAAGTCAAGCTGACGACCTAACTGCACAGCAAATTGCTGGTACGTTTCATCGGTCCCGATTCGAGCTGAACGAAAATCGCTGCGGTACGTTTCGTGAGTTTTATTGAACCCGCTAAGCAACGCTAATTTAAGAGAATCATAGTTTTCAGTAATTTCGGGAGCTAGCGCAGCGTAAATCTTTAGGGCTTTCCCTGCGAGAAGGCTACCTAAACGAACGGCATAGCTGTCTCGACTGAGTTGCAGCAATGCAGCAATCCTTTCGAAACGGATTAAATATGAGGTGATATCATCTCCGTCCTTATACGTCGGTAGTTTAGGTCGCAACGCGACGTCAGACAAGGAGACATCATTAACGGCTGGTGGCCTTAATTCAAGGAGTCGAATCTCGTGCGCCCTGGCCAGCTCACGTTCGGTAGCTTCAGCACGCACCGCGCTCTCAGCAGAAGCAGCTTCTAGTCTTACCTTTTCTAATTCGCGCTCGGCGGCTCGCTCGCTGCGCTGCAACTCTTGCTGGCGGTAGATGAAGTCCGTCACGTCAGCGCCAGACAGCCCCAAGTTCTCAGCCATAGATCGCAAATCGGCTAGGGAGGTTAATGTTGCCATGATCGTGGCAGAGATAAGTCGCAACAACCGCGGCAGAATAAAAACCAAGGATTATTGCCAACAATAAATGGAGCACAGCTAAACTAAACTAAAGTTTTCTGCCCCTATCCTACACGATAACTATAAACTAACCCCACAACCACTTATAACTCACCAAAAACCCGGAGAGCTACCTAGTGTGTGGACGAAAAAGGACTGTTTTCCTAATCCTAGAAGTCGTCCGACTTCTAGCACACTCAATTCTTACCTGCACAAGGCAAAACCGATTGAGTAAAATCGTGACGCTCCGGCCACCTTACCACCTTGTCCAGTGATAAACCCACGGGGAATAGTGAAGTACCTCACCACCACCGTGCAGTGCTGCAGCCACGCTGAAACGCTATCTCTGGCCCAAGCAGATACGTTAGTCAGCACTGAATGAATAATACTACGTCCCCGGCTCCTCCGAACACACCCCACCATCAAACCACACAGCCAGCGATTGGAACACCACGCTTACTCCGTCACTCCCAAGGCAAAGCCGGTCTAGCACGCAGCGGACAGTGGCCCACAGCTGGACGTCCCCCTGGGAAGGTCGCCAGTGTAAAGGAATCAGGACTCACTCCAGAGATCCAAGTGAAGCTTGGAAGATCCCAAATTACGGTCCCTGAGTTAGTCCAGCCAATTGGGTCCAAAGGAATCGCAAGTCTGACTTACCGAAGGCGGAAGACTATCAGAGCGCCGACCACCCCCCACGAGTTCTGAAGAGACAATTAACAACAGCGGATACCTGCGGCTAGTAATTAGCTATGATGACGTGGCGCTGTTGCCATATCAGATGGATTTCCCTGACACACAGTCTCACAGATATGCAAATCCTGGAATCCAGACAGCAGCAAATGTTCTAACTTCTAAGTTGTGCTTTTAGTGAGTTTTAGACATTAGGGTCTAGGCGGCTAGGCCTCTAGGGAACTTATGGCCATAGTGACAAACCACGGATTTTTTAGAATCGGTTAATTTTTAATTTCCTAATTTACTCAAGAATTAAATCAATTTCTTATGTATGATAATGCAGGTATCAAGGATATTTACTGGTCTACATATAGGACTCAAAACCTAACTTGAGGGAGAGTCTAAAAAACTCTCTGCTTTGCCACTATGCTTATGGCGTTCTGACAGAGCTCTCAAATAAAGTGAGCATGCACAAAAATATATAAAGTAGCAAAATTTGTTCAGTAAATGACCAAATATGTTGTAAAACTTTTCAAAATCATTTTGTTGTAAAATAAACAAACTAAATAACTAAATAAGATGATGTGCTTATAATTTAATGTTAGGTTAAACATGATATAATCTGACGCATTAAGGATGTAGCAAAAAATGAATGGCTATAAAAAATCACCGTATGCGCAACTCGAGTTCTGTTTGCTTTACATCACTCTCAAAACACCGGAGTACGCGCCAGCAACAATGAAATGTCACAAACTGTTGCAATATTTATTTAAAAGCCTTTAGAATGCAAACATACCAAAACCATATATTCTGACACTGTGCGTAACTAAATTTGGCATTTTGTAAAAATTAATTCCGGCCGCGCTTCAAACTCTACTAATTTGTAATTCTGACCCTCTTGTGTTCAAATTCCGATCGCTGTGTGAGCTGTATTGGAATATGACACAGCTCAGAATTAGAACACTATTGAATATTGAACACTACTTAATTGGACTCTTAATTAAGAGCTATTAAGCTTTTAATGAAGAAAATTTTAATTTTTGCACGCATCTCGGAACAATCTGTGTGTGTCTAATTCCAAGCTGTGTCGGAATTAGTTTTTATGTGTCTAAAACCGTCTCATAACCTAAACTTAATCTTCTATTAATTTATTTACCACTTGAAATCAGCAAATACAAGTATACTTAAAAGATTCCTAATATATTCACAGACTTATTTAAAAGTCTCAAACCATAATATTATTTCTACACAAACAGTTTATCACTATTTGGTAGAGCAAGGTCTACTATCAACTTTGACACATTTTTTGATGTTCTCACTGGGTGACGTGCACTGTCTCTCTTTGGATCTTAACATTTTCCCACCAGACGGCCCAGACCTAGTGTTTTGGCAATAGTATAGCGCGCAATAGTATGACGTCACAGTCGTCACTATTTCAACCATCAAAGAATGCGTGGAACTAAGATAATGCTTAATATTAAGGAAAAAGTTGAGAAGTGTCGGAATTACCCACGATGTTGGAATATACCGCGTTTACCCTACCTTAAAAGTTTTAGTGAGGAGGTTGTTTGAGGTTATTTAATGGTTCTAAATTTAAGTTACCATGTAAGTTTTCAAACAAGAAATAATGAAGGAATGCAATCAGAATGTGCAAACTATTGTACAAAATGCATAGTAAAACAAATTACATTTCACTATCCTGGTGCCCAACTGCCATTGCCATTATGCTATGTATTCAGTCAAATGGGGTTATAAGGAATAGTTTTGAACATTTTTCATTAATATTTTTCATTAATAACTCCTTACCTTGAAACATTTTATAAACAAGTTTAGGTTCATTTTAGAGGTCTTTGTAAGGGCTATCATATGGCATCTCTGAAAATTGAAAAAATTCCATATGCATTTTGTAATGTTCCAGATGCAGAAAAAAGTGTACCAAATTACCCCTGTGAACAGGGTAATTTGGGACACTTGAATTAAAACTAAATTTTAAAATATTTGAAGCATGCAGATTGCAGAGTGTACTCATCCATTACAAACAGTACTCTGAAGTCCTCCTCTTGCTTTGTAGATGATGTAGATGTAGAATAAATGACATATTCAGTGATCTGTGCTTGTTTATTCTTTATTGATGTTATATTACCATATAGTAATATGGTATCACATCACAGTGTAAAACTCTTCAAACGTTTTAAAATTAAGTTTTATTTCAAGTGTCCCTGATTACCCCATTCCCAGGGGTAATTAGGGATGCTTTTATTTAACGACTGGCACCTTACAATTAGCATATGGAATATTTTTCAGAGATGCTAATAAGATAGCCCTTGCAAAGACCATTAAAATGAGCCTAAACTTGTTTATGAAATGTTTCATGGTAAGGAATTATTGATGAAAAATGGTTAAAACCATCCCTTATAACCCTGTTTTATGGTAATAAGTAGTAATTGTTTAATCTTGGATTTGTGGGAACATAGAGTTATCAATTAGACAGCTTTAAAGAAAAATTTGAAGCCATGAATCTATATTGTCAGCTGTAAATAATTTCAACCTGCACAGAAAAATGTTTCATGCTGCAAACTCATTTTCCAAGTTATACAATGAGTTTCAAATCTCAAATTTATCCCTGAAACTGCAAGAAAACAATTATCTTGTAGTATCCTGATCATTGTAAGAGCAGAACCTCTTCCTCTTTTTGCTGGCTGGCCATCAAGCAGAAAATGTTGACTGAATTATTTATATATTTTCTTAATATTCTCTTACATAAATACCATGAATTGCAGTCATCTTGAAAACTTTCATACATTTTTGTATGTAGGTATGTACCTTCTTGAAATTTATATTTATTTGTAACCAATAATGTAACAGATTAAAGTTCAAATAAAATAACACAGGTTCTCTTATCATGTTCTGTAGCTCAAGACTTAGGCTAGGCAGAACACAATGTCAATTTTTTTCTTCTAAAACCAAGTTATAATTGTTCTTCAATTTATATATTAGACTTGTCCTGCATTAGCTGTTAATGATCACCACATGACGGAAGTCTGTAGATAGAGAGAGGTTAAATAAAAGTTCACATGCAATTAACAATGACAGCACGAAGTATGTTCTGCACTTGCTGCTGGCGAGCTGTATATTCTCCTGAGGAGGTCAGTGCTAAATCTTGTTGTTAAATTGTTAATTTTTGATTAACATCATAAGCTTTCATACGGTACTCTATATTTTACTTTTTAAATGATTGCTGGTATATAAAAATGTTTTTATATATGTTTATTATATTAAATCCAATTTAATTGAATTTTTAAATTTTTTAATTATCTGCTTTGAGCATTTGTTTTAATGATGTTAAACTTTGATATTTTGATCCATTTAAAAAGCTATTGAAGCCTGCTTGAACTACCTGACAATTGTGATGGTCTGTTGTTTTGAGTGTATTATGTGGATTTGATTAAGTGTATTGTGCTTGTAAATGCAACATATTATCTGTAAATGAAATATATTTTGTGTTATATTTAACCTTCTTTTTCGGGTGGCCATGTCTTTCATCTCTTTTATAGATGCAAAACTGTAAATTTATGTGCTTCAACTTTGACATTTTATATAAAGAAATATATATTTCTACTCTGACTATGTATCAATAATAGTTGATTTTAAATTAAATTGATCAAATTTGAAATTTCTATTTTATTTTTTAACCACTGAAGTATATTGATTATTTATTATACCTTGAAATTATTAGCACTAATTGATATTTAGCCTCAGAAATGTTTTGACATCCACTTTTTTTATTATATTATATTTATTATTTCATTTTATACATAATATATTATTGTATAAATTACATATTATTGTACAGATAGAGCAGCGGGCACACTCTCAGCTGATAGACAAGCAGCTGCGCAGAGACCGCAGCAGATACAGACGCCAGGTCAGGAGTGCTTCATGTCATCACTATGTTTTGATAATTTATTTTGGTTATACCTATAGATTATAAATGTAAAGTTGACTGTGAGTGGATGTTTGTATGCATAGATTATTATTGAAATCATTTAGTTAATTCTAATGAGATTGTTTTTATATGCATTGGTATGTTTTTACTGTGTATATTGAATTTTACTTAATTATTTTAAAAGTTATTTGGCAGCTATAAATCTATTTGATCTAATAGTGTGGTAAAAAGCCCAGTTGCCAGTTCTGCCATTTATATAAATTGATATCTTAAAGGAGTATGACCATGCCTATTGAAAGAAGTACCTATACTTATGGTAATTGTTGAACAAAGTGCACAAATTTTGGCAAGACTATTTCTACTAAAGATGATGATTACTGTACCTGAAATCTTCAACGAAGAATGAGCATAGAATTGTATTGAAAGTATTTAGTTACTGGCAATTCTAACGAGATTCTAAGAAATTTCTTCTCAATAAAGGATGAGCATATAATTTTATTTCAATTATTTAGTTAATTCTAATGAGATTTTTTGTATGCATTGGTTGGTGTTTGCTGTGTATATTTGCTACCTATATTTACTGTGTATCCAATACATTAGTTATGTACCGTACATAATGCTCAGTTATTTGCAGGTGAAGTTACTGCTGTTGGGGGCCGGGGAGAGTGGGAAGAGCACCTTCCTGAAGCAGATGCGTATCATCCACGGCTATCACTTCAGCACTGAGGAGCTGGATGAGTTCAGACTCACCATATACAGGAATATCATCCAAGGCATGAAGGTTAAAAGATGAACTTTTTTATGAGGCACATTTCTTTTACTTTGATAGTTACCTTTGTATTTTTAATGGTTAATATTTGCAGGTCACATTGACATAGGATTTTCCATTATTTGCATCTGATTAATAACTTGAGTTGGCCTCTAATACATATTTGAATTGATTTTTATTTTGAAATTTGAACAGGAAGTGGCATTGTAATGTTTTTTTCCAATTTTTGAAATTCAGTTTATGCAAATTTAGCTGTGCTGCAAGCCTGCAATTGGTTTCAGTTGTAACCAGTTTATGATTATTATTGATTATTTTTTAATAAATTTCTAATTAGATATATGTTGATTAGTACCATAATACAATTATCAGCCTCATTAGTGGTAATTTTTTATAATTAAGATAAACAACTCATTTTTGGCATGCACACTTCAGGTTTTGTGCGATGCTCGGCAAAAGCTAAACATTCCCTGGCAAGATCCTGACTGCGAGAAACCGGCCTTCAATATCCTGGCCTCGACGCCCCTGGTCAACGTCACCGACACCGCCTCCTTCAGGGTACTGGTACCTGACGTCAGACGCCTCTGGCAGGACCAAGCCATCAGAACCACCTACAACAGACGGGCTGAGTACCAGCTGGTGAGTGTACCACCTACAACAGACGGGCTGAGTACCAGCTGGTGAGTGTACCACCTACAACCTGTCTCTTATACACATCTAGATGTGTATAAGAGACAGGTTTCATGTTACTCATGTTCATATATATACTGGGAACATGCATGATATGAACATGACGTGTTTCATGTTACTCATGTTCATATATATACTGGGAACATGCATGACATGACCATGTAATTCTATTATGTGTGCATTATAATGGAGTTCGTGTCATGAATCATAATCAAATTCCGATTAGTTTAAGAATTACTCTCACTATTAATTATATTATTAAATTAAGTAAGTTTTGATTTCTGGACGCGGGATTGAAATTTTTTGACATGAATTTTTGAAACTTGCACCGGGAAAAATTTGAACATTTTTGGAGCATCAACAATTAATTAATTTAATTTCAGTTTAATAAATTTTAATTAACAATTTAAATCCAAGTAATTTTAATTCAGAGTTAGAGTTGACAACTGTAATGTGGTTTAATGTTGGCCATCATGAGGTTATAATAAGATTTCATGTTGTTCATTAGTTATATATTATTATATTCTTATTGTATTTCAAACTCACTGAGTATTGCTTAAGTGGATTTAAATTATTTGTGCCATTGGTTTTCTTTTTTAGAAATTGTCGAATTACGCTTCAAGAGCAAGCAATTCCAGTGACAAGTCACCATCATGCCACGTCAAGTCACCATCATGCCACGCCAAGTCACCATCATGTCACGTCAAGTCACCATCATGCCACGCCAAGTCACCATCATGCCACGTCAAGTCACCATCATGCCACGTCAAGTCACCATCATGCCACGTCAAGTCACCATCATGCCACGTCAAGTCACCATCATGCCACGTCAAGTCACCATCATGCCACGTCAAGTCACCATCATGTCACATCATGTCAGTACCAGCATCATGCAGCATCACATCCTGATGGTGTGGTGCTATGTCGTTCCATAGCTAAATCTCTTTCGATTTAATTATCATAAATCATTCTTATAACCTTGATTATTTATTTAGTAAATACTGATATTAAATTTAAGTTAGAGTTTTAACATTAAGTTAAATGTTCGTTGAATGAGAAATGCATGGAATATGTTTACCGGTTTAATATTCAAGGTTCGTAAGCTAGCATTATTTTTTAACATATTCTTAATTTACGTTTTCGGACGTAGCAGTCCCAGGCCGCGCTACAGCGCCGTCTTAGTCCCCGGTAGGCAGGCTGTAAAAGTGAGTCATGATTGAATATTTTTACTATTTAGTGAGTCATGCGTACATGGAGTGAGTAACGTCATATGCACATCTGAATGGAATGCAGGGTGGCCCAGTGGGCAGGGTGGCTCAGTGGGCAGGGAGGCCCAGTGGGCAGGGTGGCCCAGTGGGCAGGGTGGCCCTGTGGGCAGGGTGGCCCAGTGGTTACAGTTCAGAGTACCAAGATTGGCGCAGTGAGGCGCGGGTTCGATCCCAGCTCTGTGCGCCAGTTTCTGGTCAGAATCGGCGAGGAGGCCGGGCGGTTAAGCACAGCAGAATTGTAGCAGTGAGTTGCGAGTTCGAAACCGCAATAAGCTGTGAATGTTCTGCGATGTTAAGAATCGGCGACAGGCCTACGGCCTAATAACGCTGAAACCGCTATTAATTAATCCTGCACAAATTTTACGATGCGCTTATGTTTATTCCATTATGTTGTGTTGCCATCGACCAATTAACGTTGACATGCCAACATGTTTTTTGTGAAGCAAACTTTACTTGTGTTAAACGAAATATCGTTCTGATGTGAACATTTTAAAGTTTTTTCCTGTTCGTTTGGCGCTTTTTCGCTAGTCTTGAAAAAAATTCCGTCTGCGAAGTTTCGGTGCGGGCAAAGCAAGCCGTGCAATACGTGGCTGCTAGTACAACTTGTATGTTGTTCAGTAAATAATCCCAGATATTGCGATAACGATATTAGTCAACTCCAAATTATTGTTATTTTCGTTTATGTTCACACGATTACTTTCGTGTGATTTTATTGCTATTCGCTGTGTTCCTCAACACAAAGTATTCTGCGTGGTATATTATGAGTATAGAAAACCATTTTCAGAATGTAGAATAATGTTATTTGAATGCATCTATCCCGAGCGCATTAGTCATATTAATGATTCGTTGAGTATTGCAAAAAAATCAAGATGAAAAAATCAAAGCTATTTATTTTCGCCAGCATGAACAGTTGAGGAAGTGAGGAAGAAAAGCTGAGGCGTTGAGGCAGAAAACGATCAATTTTGACCTTTAAAGTATTAAGTTAAGAGCGTGTTTAAAGTATTAAGTTTAAAAGTATAAAGTTAAGCGCGAGTTTCGAAAAGCTTCTTTGTTTACTCTCGTACGAATAAGCTTGCAGGACTCAATCCTTACTGTTGATGAGCTGACGCGTTGCATTTAAGTCTTGGGTTTGTGTCAAGGCGATAATTAATAATTAATGATTAATAATTAATATGCTTTTGTATTCCAACTTTTTCAATAGTTCGTAAGTTCTACTATGATATTTTTACATTATCCTTTAGTTTAACTTTACACCTCTACTATTGGCCGTACTAAGGATAAGTCTGGTCGGTTACCATGGACTTATATATTTATAACATATATATTCGGTCGGTTATAATATTTATTCACTCAGAGAAATCAAATTGTCCTATTATGCAAATAATAACACCGAACACCTTTTCCGGGTCAAATTTCATCAGGATGACGAACAACAAGGGCAGTAAGTACATCGATATTTGGACAAAGGCACCACATTTTCAACTTTATGAATTCCTGTAAGTCATGAAATTTCTGATAGAATCTGCAACATTATGAGAAGATGCTTTGTGTTGAGCCTACAATGAAGACAATATGTGAGGTTCAGTGAAAACTGTGAGTTAGAGAAGATGTATTATGTAGAGTTTACAGTGAAGACAATTTGTGAACTCAGTGAAAACAGTGAGGTAGACAACATGTATTATGTAGAGTTTACAATGAAGACAATATGCGAGCTCAGTGAGAACAGTGAGTTAAAGTACATGTATTATGTAGAATTTATAATGAAGACAATATATGAATTCAGTGAAAACAGTGAGTTAGAGAACATGTATTATGTAGCGTTTACAATGAAGACAATATGTGCAGGCAGTTACTAACCTTGTTATCGCTCAGCTGAGAACGCCGTGTTCCTGCTATTATATTATATAATTATTATATCCTGCTGTATAAATAAATTATTTTTATATTGATCTATCATTTATTTACACATCTCAATGATTATTCGATACTTTCTTGAAATTGGTATGAAAATTATCAGTAGTTAAATGTATTGTAGCAGTGGTGCCGTTAGCAAGAACTCTTCCATCGCTGAAAATTGGGCTTCTAATAACATTTAATGCTGACAGTTCAGATGGGCTAGCGAAGAATGTATATATAATGCTGATAATCGAGTAGGTAAAGTGTGACTGGTGAAGAATGTACATATAATAGAATAGAGAATCGAACAGAAGTGTCGGCACTGAAGAAAATAGGCCCAAAGACTGTTGCCGATTCTTGAACTTTTCGCGACTTGATTCACAAGGGATCCGGCCTTTGGAACCCGATCTTTCCATAGCTGACGATTGATTGAGATAGCTGCTGGACTTATTGCCTGCTCCGTAATTTGCTAGGCATTTTAAGACTGAACATATGCTCCTGCATAGCTTCGTCTAGTCTGTTTTTGAAGATGTTCATACTCGGAGCGTCAACGATCGAGTACAGATCGAGTATGTGCCGACAATCGAGTACAGTTCGGCTATAATGTATAATGTATATAATGTATAATCATATAATGCCGACAATGAAGAACACTTCGACTGTAAGCGGCATTTATAAATTCAATATCGAGTATGACAATCGAGTATAGTTTGACTTTTAGCGACGAATGTATGTTTAATGCTGACAATCAAGTTCGGTACGACTGTCAGTGACGAATGTACATTTAATGATTACAATCCAGTACAGTTCGACTATTAGCGACAAATGTATTTAGGGGTACTATATATAATATATACGTAGAAATATTAGAGTTCAAGTTCCCATCCCCAGTTAGTTAGTTTAGTGGCCAAATGTTTACTAGCGCTTCAGCTATTTAGCTATCTCGCACCGAAAGTCAAGATGAACATCACCATAGAGGTGGAAGGTCTTAATTATTCATCACCTGTCTCTTATACACATCTATGCCCCTCTCAGGGTATCTCAGGGTATGATGCCCCTCTCAGGGTATCTCAGGGTATGATGTCCCTCTCAGGGTATCTCAGGGTATGATGCCCCTCTCAGGGTATCTCAGGGTATGATGCCCCTCTCAGGGTAT